CAAAAATCCCCCTGGAGAAGTTCCTGCTGACCATCAAGTTCCTGCTGGCCATCAGGGTCACACTGGGGTGGACAATGGTCCACTTGGTGGTCAGCAGGTCCCAAAAAACCTCAAATCACCTGAAATTTCCCCCCCAAAAATCCCCCTGGAGAAGTTCCTGCTGACCATCAGGTCTCACTGGCCATCAAGGTCACACTGGGGTGGACAATGGCAGAGTGACCACTCGGTGGTGGACAACACCAGAGTGACCACTCGGTGGTGGACAACACCAAAGTGACCACTTTGATGGTCAGAAAACCCCAAAAAACCTCCAAAATACCAAAAATTCCCACCAAAATTGCCCAAAAATGACTCAAAAGTTCCTCTGGAGAAGTTCCTGCTGACCAACAAGTTCCTGCTGAGCATCACGGTCACCCTGGGGTGGACAATGGAAGAGTGACCACTCGGTGGTCAGCAGACCCCAAAACACCTCCAAATGACCAAAAATTCCCACCAAAATTGCCCAAAAATGACTCAAAAATCCCCCTGGAGAAGTTCCTGCTGACCATCAAGTTCCTGCTGGCCATCAAGGTCATCCTGGGGTGGACAATGGCAGAGTGACCACTCGGTGGTCAGCAGACCCCAAAAAACCTCAAATCTCCTGAAATTTCCCCCCAAAAATCCCCCTGGAGAAGTTCCTGCTGACCATCAGGTCTCACTGGTCATCAAGGTCACACTGGAGTGGACAATGGCAGAGTGACCACTCGGTGGTCAGCAGACCCCAAAAAACCTCCAAAATACCAAAAATTCCCACCAAAATTGCCCAAAACTGACTCAAAAGTTCCTCTGGAGAAGTTCCTGCTGACCATCAAGTTCCTGCTGGCCATCAGGGTCACACTGGGGTGGACAATGGTCCACTTGGTGGTCAGCAGGTCCCAAAAAACCTCAAATCACCTGAAATTTCCCCCCCAAAAATCCCCCTGGAGAAGTTCCTGCTGACCATCACGTTCCTGCTGGTCATCAGGGTCACCCTGGGGTGGACAATGGCAGAGTGACCACTCGGTGGTGGACAACACCAAAGTGACCACTTTGATGGTCAGAAAACCCCAAAAAACCTCCAAAATACCAAAAATTCCCACCAAAATTGACCAAAAATGACTCAGAAGTTCCTCTGGAGAAGTTTCTGCTGACCATCAGGTCTCGCTGGCCATCAGGGTCACCCTGGGGTG